CGTAGTGCCTATGCCTAAGGCACTTGACTGCTAACCAGAAGGCTGGTGGTTCAAACCCACCAGTCACCCCTTGGAAGGAAGGTTGGACAATCCACTTCCACAGTCATACTACCTTGGAAGCCCAAGGAGGGGTCACTATGAGACAGGCCAACTTGACTGCACATAACAACAATAACAATAGTATTGACTGGTCTTTCCTGTAGGTGTATAGTTATTATCCTACCACTGACAGCATTGTACTTCAGGATAGATCTTGAAATATTCTTTGTGACAATGAATGACACACCATTCCTGTTCAATTTGTCATTTCTGGCATAATAGATCACATGGTTGTCTGATTCAAAATGACCAAAACCAGTCCATTTCAGCTCACTAATGCCTAGGATATTGATCTGTATGAGTTCCATTTCATTTTTGACAACTTCCAATTTTCCTACATTCATATATACATCATGCATTCCATGTCTGATCATTAATGGGTGTTTGCAGCTGTTTCTTCCCATTTTGAGTCATGCTACATCAGCAAATGGAGGTCCTGAAAGCTTTAGTCCATCCATGTCATCAAGGTCAACTCTAGTTTGAGGAGGCAGCTCTTCCCCAGTTGTATTTTGAGTGCCTTCCGACCTGAGGGGCTCATCTTCTGGCACTATATCAGACAATGTTTCAGGGCTATTAATCAAGTTTTCCAGTAATATATCAGGCAGTGTTTTACTGCTATTCATAAGGTTTTCACTGGCCAATTCTTTTCTTCCTTCTTCCAAGTCTTTCTTAGTCTGGAAGCTTTGCTGAAACCTGTCCACCATTGGTGACCCTCCAGGTATTTGATATACTGGTGGCATAGCCTCCAGCTTCACAGCAACACACAAAAACAACACAATATGACAAACTGACAGACAAGTGGTAGAACTGTCCCAGAGTCACTTTAAAAGACATCGAGTTTGTGGCATAGTGCCCAAGGCATTTGACTGCTAACCAGAAGGCTGGCACTTCAAACCACCAGCCCGCCCTTGGAAGGAAGGTTGGGCAATCTACTTCCACAGTGATACTGCCTTGGAAACCCAAGGAGGGGTCATTATGAGTTGGGATCAACTTGATGGCAGTGAGTTTGGTTTTTGGTTTGTTATGGAATGGCAGTACTGCATCCAGTGGTGACTGTCTGGTCAAGTCTTCTGAGGTCCTCCTTCCAAGTCTACAAGTTTTCATATAGTAGTAGAATTATCACAAGGGGGGCTTGGGTGACAAGCCAGGCTAGTCAGCCAATGCAGGTAGTCAGCTCCCCTCTGGAGGTATTGAAAGATGTTCCAGCCGACAATAAGTTTCTTTACATTGGTGGTCACAAGATGTTCCTTCCTGATAAGGTGTTGGCGTCAGCAGCTGCAAGCTCAGCTGCCCTAGGAATGTATAGGGAGGGGAAGCTAAAGAAAAGGTTGTTGTTATGTGCTGTCGAGTCGGACCCGACTCATAGCGACCCCTCCTTGGGTTTCTGAGGTGGTATCACTACGGAAGTAGATTGCCCCATCTTCCTTCCGAGGAGTGGCTGGTGGACATGAACCGCCAGCCTTCAAGTTAGCAGTCAAGTGCCTTAGCTACTATGCTACCAGAGCTCCCAAAGAAAAGGAGTACAAAGTTTATGATGGTGGGCCAGGAGCCATTTTAGGAGTGTTTGAAGGCCTATATCATACAATATCAGACACAAATAAAATTTTGCTGAAGATAATTAAACAAGGATTGCAGCAATATATTGACAGGGAACTTCCACAAATGAAAGCTGGATTCAGAAGAAGACATGAAAAGAGAGATATCATTGCTGATGTCAGATAGATTTTGGCTCAAAGCAAAGAATACCAGAAATTTGTTTACTTGTGTTTTATTGACTATGCATAGGCATTCAACTGTGTGGATCATAACTGATTATGGTTAACATTGAGAAGAATGGGAATTCCAGAACACTTAATTGTGCTCACGAGAAACCTGTATATAGACCAAGAGGCTGTCATTCAAACAGAACAGGAGGATACTGCATGCTATAAAATCAGGAAAGGTGTGCATCAGGCTTGTCTCCTTTCACCATACTTATTCAGTCTGTATGCTAAGCAAATAATTTGAGAAGCTGGACTATATGAAGAAGAACGTGGCATCAAGATTGGAGGAAGACTCATTAACAACCTGCAATATTCAGATGACACAACTTTTCTTGCTGAAAGTGAAGATGACTTGAAGCACTTACTGATGAAGATTAAAGAGTCTTCAGTATTGTTCTGGTTACCTAGTACTTCTCTGACAAGAATATACCACAAATGGGATGGCTTCAACAAACAGGAGTTTATTCTTACAATTTGGAGGCTTTAAGTCCAAGTTCAAAGTGCCAAGTGCTAAGGGCTGGGTGAAAGCCCCTCAGCCTTGGGCTTCAGCTCTGCTTCCAGCTCCTGGCCCACTGAAGCTAGAGGCATTTCTTCACTCAGACAGCTGCTGGCTGCTGAGATTGAGAAGCCCATGGTTGACAAATAAAATGGCACAATCTCAACGTTACCAAACCACATGGCAGGCCATTAATTTAAATTCATTGTAAGTCCCCAGGTCGGCAGAGCATGGCAGGCTGCTGAACAATGACACGGCTACGTGCAGAGTCCAAGTGTGCCATAAGGTAGAGACCATTCCCAAGACTTCTCCTTATATACAGAAAGCAGACCACATCCCAAAGGCAGCTACTCAGCTGCTTGTGGTAGATCCCACCATGGAGTGGATTGCCAGTCTCATCATGGGGAATAACTACCACCAGCTGCCTAGCCACTCAACCAGGCCCAGCCAAATTGACATACAAACATAACTACCACAAGTATGTATGACATCTCAACATAAAGAAAGCAAATATCCTCATAACTGGATGAATAAGCAGCATCACAATAAATGGAGAAAAGATTGAAGTTGTCAAAGATTTCATTTTACTTAGACACAATCAATACCTGTAGAAACAGCAGTCAAGAAATCAGACATGCACAGCCAGCTACCCAGAGAGACCGAGTAGTTGAACCTGTGGGCTTGGGACCACAGTTGCAGGGGACATCAAGCTCAACTGGCATAACATACTACACAAAACATTGTTCCACCTCCTACTTTGGCGAGTAGCGACTGGGATTTTAAAAGCTTGCAAGCTGCCATCCAGATGCAATGATGGGTCTCTCCCTGTCCAGCGCAAAGAATGAAGAAAACCAAAGATTCATGGAAACAATTAGTCCTAGTTACTGGTACACCATCTGATCTGCAGCCTATACGACTATGAGACCAGAAGAACTAGATGGTGCTCAGCTACCACTATCAACCAATTGGAAGGGAATCTATGCAGGAGATCCTGGATAGAGAGGGAGAACAATGTGGAACAAAACTCAAAATCATTTGGAGAAAAAAAAGGGGGGGGGGGACCAGGTTTGCTGGTCCGATAGAGCCTGGTGGAACCACTGAGACTATGGCCCCTAGCTGCCCTTCAGGTCTGGAATTGAATCCACACCTGTGTCTTCCAGCCAAACAAAAGACAGGCATATGAGTTGAACATTTACCTGAGGTAGATACACTCCTTGGAGAGAACAATCATGGGAGAAAGGAGGGCTGCTTATGCACAGGGAGACAGCTCAGGGGGCAGGAGTGCATAGAGGGATGGACACAGGGAAGAGGTAACTATGGGGAGGAATTTGCAAGGGAGCTGTTGCAGTGTGGTAAATTGTGGTCAATGTCATAAGACAAAATATATGTGAACTGCTGTATGGAAAGTGAATTTGCTCTGTAAATTTTCACCCAAATCACAATTAAAAAAAAAAAAAAGAAATCAGACATCATCGTGCATTGGATAAATCTGCTGCAAAAGACCTCTTTAAAGTGTTGAAGAGCAAAGTCATTACTTTTTTTTTAATATATATATATTTTTATTGTGATTTGGGTGAAGATTTACAAAGCAAATTCACTTTCCACACAGCAGTTCACATACACTTTTCTCATGCCATTGACTTCAATTTACCACAATGCAACAGCTCCCCCCACTTCCTCCCCATAGTTAACTCTTCCCAGTGTTCATCCCTCCATGCACTCCCCCCTGAGCTGTCTCCCTGTGCATAAAAAGCCCTTCTTTCTCCCATGATTGTTCTCTACAAGGAGTGTATCTACCCGAGGTGAATGTTCAACTCATATCCCTGTCTTTTGTTTGGCTGGAAATCACAGGTGTGGGTTCAATTCCAGACCTGAAGGGCCGCTAGGGGCCATACTCTTAGTGGTTCCACCAGGCTCTATCGGACCAAAGTCATTACTTTGAATATTAGAGAGTGCTTAACCCAAGCCGTGGTATTTTCAGTCGCCTCATATACATGTCAAAGCTCGACAATGAATAAGGAAGACTGAAGAAGAGCTGATGTTTTTGAAGTATGCAGGCTAAGAATCCTGAAATAACCATGAAATGCCAAAAGCAGGAACAAATCTGTCCTGGAAGAAGTGCAGCCAGAAAGCCCCTTGGAAGCAAGAATGGCCAGACTTCATTTCACCTACTTGGGTCATGTTGTCAGAAGGAGCCATTACCTGGAGAAGAATACCACGCTTGGTAAAGTGGAGGGTGAGCGAAAAGGGTGAAGACCATCAACAAGATGGACACACAAGGTGGCTGTAACGATGGGCTCAAGTATAGCAAGGATTGTGAGGATGGGGAACGACCCAGCAGCGTTTCTTTCTGTTGTGCAAAGGGTCGCTATGAGTTGTAGCCGACTGGATGGCACCTAACAACACAACAGCATGATCTGGGAAGGGAGGAGGTCCATGGGGTGGAGGTGTCACTTTGAGTTACCGCACTGGGTGACACCCATCCTAGAGACGCTACTGCCAGCACTTGATCAAGGAATCTCTGGTGAGGCGGGGTTTGCATCTAGAGGTATAAAATGTTGAGCAGAGCCCTGGAAGAGCGTCATACTTAACTCCCTCCCCTTTCCCTATTGAAGTCCACCGGAGTGGCGCACTTTACCTCTCCGGAACCCGCGGGTCGCTCACTTCGGTTCCGGTCGGAATTACCCGGCGGCGCACGCTAACATGGCCGCGCTGGTAGTGAGAGTTGTCAGGGAGCTGCTGAAACGTGTGGACTTCGCAACAGCCCCACGAAGACATCGACATAAGAAAAAATGGGTAAAGTCCGACCCGGGGCCCAGGAACCACATTCCCACGCATTTCCGCCCCTTGCCTTCTTCTCTATCGGAACTTCTCTATCCCTTCTACTCCTCGCCCAACTAAGTTATGACTTCCAGTTCTCTACTCTTGGACGCCTTGGGTCTCTTTTCCTCAGCCTTCAGTGAGCTTCTGTAGGTTCCTTCTTCTGACATCTGGCACGATGTGCTCTCCGTCAGCCCTTTTATTTCGTCAGAAATCTTCAGCTCCACCCCCAGCTAAGTTCTTTAGCCTTGTGACTCCGCCCCTCTAAGTTACGTCAACACCCCGCCTCATTCTTTCAGTTACGTTTTAGCTTCTGGTTTCCCAGCCCCACTTTACTTCGCTTTGGCCCCCACTACCTATTCCACTTCCCTCCCCCTCACTCTCCCTCCCTTTCTTTCTTACCCAGCCCCTCTCACCCCTCCCCTATGAACTCTTCTCCTCCTTTTCTCTTCGAACTTCAAGCCCGGCCACCCTCACCCCTCGCAAAATGTCTTAGCGAACCCCCCTTCCTCCCTCCTGAGTCGCCGACACTCTCCGGGAAAAGATTCAGCCCGATCCTTAACCTCAAGCTGCCTCCAGCACCCAGGAAAGGTTACAGTGATCACCCTGCCCAAACTCCCGGGCTTTCCCCAGACCCAAGCAAAAGATGCAGCGACCCCCCTCATCCCCTGAACTCTCCTCAATTTTCCAGGGACCCTTTTTCTGGACTCACCTGTGGCTCTGAAATTCCTTTTATATCAGGTCCGCCTCCCTCCCCGCCCCCACCATGCCCCTCCCCACTTCCACCACCTCCCCTGCCTTTAGGGAGATGTTCTTTTGAACCCAGCTCTCCCTTACTCTTAGGAAAGCCATACTGCTCAGTTTCGCCCCCTCTGAGCCCTTATCTTGGCCAATTCAACACTACGGGGTCGCCCCCTCAGCGTCTGCGGATCCCTTATTGCAATTGGATCGGGCCCCCAAGAACGCCGTGTCCCTATCCCCAAAGTGCTTTCTTTGACCTGCATACTTCCCTCTGTTACTGTGATGAGTTCCTGTCAGCCGTGGGACCCAGCCCGGTGATCTCCCCTCCCCTCACTCATCAGCCCCCAGAAACTGGCCCAGTGACCTCCTCTCCCTTCACTCATCCGCCCCCAGAAACTGGCCCAATAACCTCCCCACCCCTCACTCATAGGCCCCCAGAAACTGGCCCAGTGACCTCCCCACCTCTTACTCATAGGCCCCCAGAAACTGGCCCATTGTCCTCCCCTCCCCTCACTCATAGGCCCCCAGAAACTGGCCCATTGACCTCCCCTCCCCTCACTCATCCACCCCCAGAAACTGGCCCAGTAACCTCCCCACCCCTCACTCATAAGCCCCCAGAAATGGACCCAGTGACCCCTCCTCTCCTTACTCATAGGTCCCCAGGAACTGACCCCTTGACCTCTGCTCCTGTCACTCATGGGCCCCCGGACACTGATGTCATGATTTCACCTCCCCACACTCACGGGCACCAGGAAACTAACCCCACAATTTCTCCTCCCCTCATTCCTGGACCCCCAAGAACTGGTCCTATGATTTCATCTCCCCTCATTCATGGACCCTGGGGATCTTGCCCTGTGATTTCACCTCCTCTTGCTCATAAACCTCTGGGAGCTGGCCTCATCATCTCACCTCCCCTTGCTCACCGGTCAATAGGAAGTAGACCTGTTGTCTCCCCACCCCTTTCTCAGAGGCTTTTGGAAACTGATCCCGTGATTTTCTCACCCTGGTCTTCAGGAAGATGCTATAATGACCCTCTTCTTTCCACAGTACCTCCCCCACCCACTGTCAGCTTTTACCATGGCTGCCTTAAGCCTCCAGACTCTTGTGAACCCAAACCACAGCTTGACTTGTCTCTTGGCAAAAATGATTGTGGCTTTACACCTTCTTCTCAGGCAGACTTCTCTAGCTCTCCCAGCCCACCTCAAGAGGGCTCTTACCACTACTCTCATATTCCCGCAGAAGCCCATGTACCTGCCTCTGGGAGCCCTTACTGTACCATTCGCATACCTCCTGGGAATACTAGTTCTCCCTGCCCATCTCAGCCCCAGAACTTCAGGAAGCCTTGCTTTGAATCCATTCTTTCCTGGGAGGCTGGTGGGAATTCTTACCTTTTCCTAACTCCAGGCACAACGATTTCTAGTCCTCCTTATTCCCAGGAATCCCCCCTTCCTCTGTCCTCCCCTTGTCCTTATTCTGTCCTCCCCTTCCATTTAGCCCCTAGCAACCAGTTTATATCTCCCCCACCACCCCCACACAGAAGCTATAATGAACCTCCTCTCACCACCCCAATTTCCCCCCAAGTAAAAGCCCCCAAATCCTCAGAATTAAGACAGTCACGTACTTCTCAAAGATGTTGCTCTATGGTTGTCCCTCCCCAGTGTATCCCTGCTGGCCAGCCCAGACCTCTTAAGACCTGTACCTCTCCTCCACCTCCTCCCTGCCCCTCCAATCTTTCTAGTCCTTCTTGTAGGGAGCCATCCATCACAACTCCATCAAATTCCTGTCCCAAAGAACTTCCCCTAGGGACTACCTTACCCACTGTGGTTCCTCGAACCCTCAAAACTATCATCCCCTCTTCCTTTCCCCTCCGCTTTCCTTGTGCTCCTGCTTCACTCAATAGTTATGCTCAGAGCATACCTCGTAGACCCCCCATAGACACCCCATGCAGTACTCATATGTACTCTGTTGTTCCCCCCTCCCCTGATCCCTGCCCTCTGGGTTCCCTCAATCACTCCACAGGCCCTCTTCAGTGTCATAACCAGCCTGTGGTACCCCCCTGTGGCTCCTATAGCACTCCTAGGGGGCCTCCCCCACCCCATCGCCAGTCTGTAGCACCCCCTTGTGCTACCCACATCTATTCTTTTATCCCTTTGAGAACACCCTTTGACCCCAAAAGTTTACCCATTGCCCCCCGAGCCCAAGGCCGTCCTGACATTCCCTGTGGCCTCCATATCTACTCTGTGGCCTCTCAAGACTCTCGCAAAGAGTCCCCCCAAATCCCTTATAGCTGCCCTTTGCCTTTGTCTAAGAATTCCAGTTGTAACACTAACATCAGCTGTAGTTCGACTGTTGTTATTACTGGAAGCCAGAGTAGTGACACCCAGAGCAGGAGTACCAACCGAAGCAGAAGCCGGAGCCAGAGTAAGAGTCCTCATCATAGCAGAAGTCGGAGCCGGAGCAAGAGTCCCCACCAGAGCATGAATCAGGGCCAGACTGAGAGTTTCCGCCTTAGCAGAAGTGTGGACCAGACCAAGAGTCCCCAGTACAGTAGAAATGAAGGCCAGGGTGAGAATCTTCAACCTAGCAGAAGTCAGAGCCGGAGCAAGAGTCCCAACCGGAGCATAAATCTGGACCAACATGAGAGTCCTCACCGTGGCAGAAGTCGGAGCCGGAGCAAGAGTCCTAATGAGAGTAAAAGTCAGGGCTGGCGCAAGAGTCCCCGCCATAGCAAAAGTAAAGGCCGGAGCAAGAGTCCCCGCCATAGGAAGAAATGAGGGCCAGAGAGAGTTCTAACCAGACCAAAAAATCCATGCCAGAGTAAAAGTCATAATAATAAGATTGCCAGCCATAGCAAGGATCTCAACCATGAGCAACAAGGACCTAATTGTGGACTTCTCACTTGAGGTCTCCTTTTCCCTTTTAATCTATCTTTATGCTCTTAAGCCTGACTGATGTTCCTGTCTCTATCCCCATAGATCTCCATTTCAGCTTATACCTCAAGGTTCTGTGAACTCTCCTCATTATACCTTCTGGGTTCTGGGAACTCTTCCAAAATGACCCTCAATGGTTATGAACATTATCATTCATGCAATGAATTCATTTCATTAGATAAATATCTTCATTTCTTCATCAAATATGGAGGGTTGTGGGTTTTTTTTTTTTTAAATCCTACTGAGATACCTTGTGATGTTCACATATGGTAACAGACATAAAATGCATTAGTAAATAGGAGAACTGTTCAGAAGGAGTCATTTGTTTTTACGCCTGAAACTTCTCTAAGACCTCCATAGTTTCTTTCATCCTTCTGCAGCCTTTTCTCAAAAGTCTGCTCCTGAGTTCCCATTCTCTAAGTTCCTCTTACTCCAAGGCCTCAAGGAATGCTTATCTTCTTGATGACCCCCACATACTACAGCTTTCTTCTCACAACTTTGAAATGGAAAGGCCAATTCCTCACTACTTTTCTCTTTCACACTTCTCTGGTAGGGAGAGGCTGTACGCAAAGGCATAAGTGGGCACTAACTAACTGGATTTGTGTTTGTTCCAGGGCTCTGAGGTAGAGTTAGATAGTAGAAGATAGAGGCAAAGCTGAGAAGACAATAATCCTGCTCTTTCCCCTTTAGGCTACCACAGAGCCCAAATTCCCTGCCACTCGACTGGCTCTGCAGAATTTTGACATGACCTATAGTGTGCAGTTTGGAGATCTTTGGCCATCAATCCGGGTCAGTCTTCTTTCAGAGCAGAAGTATGGTGCACTAGTCAATAACTTTGCCACTTGGGATCATGTGATTGCTGATCTGGAGCAGCTGAGTGCCAGGGACTTTGTGAATGAAGCCTTCTCCCACTGGGAACTGGGGCCTGAGAGTGACCAACCTACAGTACCAGTCCCAACTCCAGCTTCCTGGGCCTGCAGTCCGAACCTTCGATGCTTCACTTTTGCCAAAGGGGATGTTAGCCGCTTCCCTCATGCCAGGTAAGATCTAGAGCCATGGATGGTGTCCTGAGTGCTTGTTGTAAGTAGACAGGAAGAGACCCGGCTCTCTGTAATAATGATCAAGTACTGTATTGCTCATTAACTGAGTGCTTATATGTGCTATTCATTTTCCTAAGTGCTGTACAAACATGATCTCCTTTTGTTCTGTCACCATTCCAGTGAGCCAGGTAATGTTGTTCCTGTTTAACATGGGAGGAAATTGAGATGCAGAGAACTTAAGGCACTTAACTTAGGTCCCTTGGATAGTAAGTGGTGAAGCTAGTGTTTAGACCCAGGTGGTCTGATCCCAGAACCTGCACTTTGAACCTGCTTTGGTCTTCTGCCTCCTGTAGAAAACAGCCATCCCTTACATGAGCACTTCCTGAGCCCTCTCAAGTTAAAATATGTCTTACTCAGGACCGACTTCTCATTTTACCCTCATACCTCTCAAAGTGAGTAGGACAGGTAACTTCTTGGTACTGAAAAGGAAGTGGTGCTTGCCCATGGCACAAAGTTAGTACCAAAAATCAAACTTTGTCAGTTGATTCTGACTCATGGCCACGCCATATGTTACAGTGTAGACCTGCTGCATAGAGTTTTCTTGGCTATAATCTTTTGTGGAAGCAGATTGCCAGGCTTTTTATCTGCAGCACTGCTGGGTGGATTTGAATAGCCAACCTTTAGGTTCATAGTCGAAAGGACATCATTGCTCTACCCAGGGGACCTCGTTAGTACCAGAGTAGGATGAAAAATGGAGAACTTCTGAATTCCTGATCCAGTGTTTAGATGTGCATGAAGTTGAAGGAAAAAAGACTGTAGAATCAAATGATAAATCGTGTTTTAGAATTTGAGAAAAGGAGAGTTCAAGGTTAGTTGTAGGATATGGGAATTACCTTTGAAGGATTGATTGATTCATTCAATAAATATTTATTGTCTACCAAATGCCAAGGTTTTAAGTGCCTGAGTTATTGGTGCACAAGTCCTCATAGAGTTTATAGTCTAGTGAGGAAGGAAACTGTTAAAAAACTTTGTAATTGTGATAAGTGCTACAAAGAAGTATAAGACTCTGTGAAGATATAACAATCTTTTCTGAGGAAGTGAAATTTACTCTAAGACCTGAAAACTGAGTATGGGGTAGAGATTGGGAAGGGAGGCTAACTGTGAGGCTACAGAAAAAGGCAGGAACAAGATTGTGAAGGTCTTGTAGGCCATGTGGACTATTTCCTGAAGAGGAAGCCAGGAAAGGTTTCCTGGCTGATCATATTTGAATTTTTCAAATACCGCTCTGGCTGCTGTGTAGAACACAGATTGGAGAGGAGCAGGGCAGGAAATGGGGAGATAAATTAGGAGGCTTTTACAACAGTCCTAGCTGCTTGCTTGAGGGGTGGCTGTATGCTTAAAAAGAGGGAGAGATGAGGCTGGAAAGGTATGTGGGGGGTCACTTGTGGGGCACTAGAATGCTAAGAGCTTGCAAGTTGGGGTAAAGGGCATTTTTCTGGGTTGCTTGCAAATATCTGGGATTGCTAGGGCTGAGTGTCTTCATACCATGTGAATATTGCTATACATTGCCAAGATCTGTTCTAGAGAAATACTGAAAAGCGTTTCTGAGGGGGAAAAAAAAAAACCAGATCACTGTCACCAAGTTGGATCTGACTCATAGTGACCCCTCCTTGGGTTTCTGAGGCAATATCACTACGGAAGTAGATTGCCCAATCTTTCTCCTGAGGAGTGGCTGATGGGTTTGAACCACCAGCCTCCTGGTTAGCAGTCAAATGCCTTAGGCACTACACCACCAGAGCTCCTTCTGAGCAAGGGAAAGGGAAAGGCAGTAATGCGCAGAGGTTAGAAGCATGGACTTTAGAGTCAGGCAAACCTAGGTTTGGCTATTGCCTTCACTTGTGACTTTGTATAACTGAGCCATGTTTTCCTTATCTGGAAAATAATAATAATAGTAATAGCTATTCTAAGCACTTATATTATTCATTCAATCATCACAATAACCTTAACTGATACTCTTACTAAGAAGATGAGGAACAGAGAAGTTAACTAATTTACTGGAGGTCACATAGCTAATGAATAACTGAACCGGCTTTGAATCTAGAATCCATGATTTCCTGCCTCATAGAGTTGTAAACCAATCAACCATTGAGTTGATTCTGACTCATGGTGACCCCATGTGTGCCAGAATAAAACTGTGCTCCATAGTGGTGTTTTTTTTTTGTGTGTGTGTGTGTGATTCTGGTGAAGGTTTACAGAGCAAATTCATTTTCCATACACCAGTTCATACACATTTTGTTTCATGACATTGACTGTAATTCCTCACAGTGTAACAGCTCTCTTCCCACTTCCTCCCTATAGTTAGCTCTTCCCTGTGTCCTTCCCTTCCATGCACTCCTACCACCTGCCCCCCCCCCAAGGTATCTCCCTCTGCAAACACTGCCCTTCTGTTCTCTCATGATTGATTGATTGATCACTCCAAGGAGTGTATCTTCCTGATGTAAATGTTCACCCAATATGCCTGTCTACTGTTTGACTGGAAGCCACAGGAGTGAGTTCGGTTTCAGACCTGAAGGGTAACTAGGGGCCATAGTCTCAGAGGTCTCACTAGGCTCTGTCAGATCAGTAAAACTGGTCTTTATGATTTTGAGTTTTATTCCACATCATTCTCCTACTCTATCCAGGATCTCCTACACCGATCCCCTTCCAAGTGGTTGACAGTGGTAGCTGGGCACCATCTATTTCTTCTGCTGTCATGGTTATATCGGCTGAGGATTGCATGGTTTACTACTCCCTTGGACTAATTGTTTCCATGCATCTTTGGTTTTCTTCATTCTTCTTTGCTCTGGACAAGGAGAGACCCATCATTGCATCTAGATGGCCACTTGCAAGCTTTTAAGATCCCAGTCAATATTCACTGAAGTAGGATGTCAAAAAATATTTTTGTGTAGCATGTTACACCAGTTGAGCTTGACGTTCCCTGAGACCATGGTCTTGAGCTCACAGGTCCAGCTACTTGCTCCCTGCAGGTCGCTGGCTGTGGCTAAGAAGTCACCACAACCTTGTCCCTTGTCAGTGCTACTATACAACTGGACATTCTTACAGCACATACAAATACGCTTATGGAAACATTGTCTGCCAACCCTATATGTGGTCATGGGCACACGACCCCCTGCCTAGACATACCTGGTCATTCAGCCTGTCTACCCATCCATCCACCCATAGTAGATCAATGCTTGCCATCACTGACAACATAGTACTGTATGTGCAAAAGGGTTCCTCTTTGTTGTCTGTACCTCCCAGGTACCTTTCCATGTCTTCTTCCTCAATGACACTGTATTGATCACTTCTTTTGGTACATTACCCTTCCCTTTACCCAAATCAAAACTTGTCTCTACCTATAGCAGTATTCCTTCCCCTCCCCTCCCACCCCTGGTAACCAACAAAGAAAATTTCCTTCCATATATAAACCTCTCCTTGACTTTTTACAATAGTGAACTAATGCAATATTTGTCCTTCTGTGATTGACTTACTTCACTCAGCATAATGTCCTCCAAGTTCATCCACATTACACCGTGTTTTTCAGATTCTACATTTTTCTTTAGTGTTGCACAGTATTCAGTTGTGTGTATGTATCATAGTTTGGTTATCCATTCTTCTGTTGATGGGCACTTAGGTTGTTTCCATCTCTTTGCTATTGTAAATAGTACTGCAATGAACATGGGTGTGCATTTATCTGTTCTTTTCCTGGCTCTCATTTCTTTAGGATATATACCTAGTAATGGGATTAATGGGATTGCTGGATCAGATGGTATTTCTAATTCCAACTTTTTAAGGAATCGCCATACTACTTTCCACAGTGGTTGTATCATTTTACAGTCCCACCAGCAATGTATAAGAGTCCCAGTCTCTCCATTTCCTTGCCAGCATTTGTTATTTTCTGTCTTGCTGAACTTTGCCATTCATGCTGGGATGTGATGGTATCTTGTTGTTTTGATTTGCATCTCTGTAATGGCTAATGATCATGAACATTTCTTCATGTGTTTGTTGGCAACCTGAATACCTTCTTTGGTGAAGTGTTTGTTCATGTCTTCTGCCCATTTTTGAATTGGATTGTTTGTGTTTTTGTTGTTGAGGTGTTGGAGTTTTCTATAAATTTTAGAGATAAGTCCTTTGTCAGATATGTTGTTGCCAAATATTTTTTCCCAATCTGTAGGTTCTCTTTTTACTCTTTTGGAGAAGTCTTTTGAAGCACATAAAGATTTAATTTTTAGAAGGTCCCATTCATCTAGTTTATCATCTGCTGTTTGTGCATTTTGGGTTATGCTTGAGAGTCTATTTATGCCATAAATTTTTTTTGTTGTTGTTGTTAGGTGCCGTCAATTAAGTGTTCTGGAATTCCCATTCTTCTTAATGTTATCCACAGTTTGTTATGATCCACACAATTGAATGCCTTTGCATAGTCAATAAAACACAAGTACACATCTTTCTGGTATTCTTTGCTTTGAGCTAAGATTCATCTAATGTCAGCTATGATATCCCTAGCTCTACGTCCCCTTCTGAATCCAGTTTGCATTTCTGGAAGTTCTCTGTCAATATTCTGCTGCAACCATTTTTGAATTATCTGCAGTAAGATTTTACTTGTATGTGATATCAGTGATATTGTTTGATAATTTCCACATTCTCTGGGATCACTTTTCTTTGGAATGGGTACAGATATGAATCTCTTCTAGTCAGTTGCCAGGTAGCTGTCTTTCAAATCTCTTAGCATAGCCGAATGAGTGCCTCCAGCGCAGCATCTGTTTGTTGCAACATCTTAATGAATATTCCATCCATTCCTGGAGCCTTGTTTCTTGCCAATTCCTTCAGTGCAGCTTTGACTTCTTCCTTTAATACCATTGTTTCTTGATCATATGCCATCATCTACCAATGGGTCATCATCTACCAATTCTTTTTGGTATAGTGACTGTATATTCCATCCATCTTCTTTTGATGTTTCCTGC